GTTGGTCTGTTATTGAAAATTTGGTCTTTTTTTTTTTTACTTTCCCCTATTATAAATAGTAACCATGTAAGTTGAGAAGAAAAAAGCTAAAGGATAAGAGACTAAATACTAAACTACTGATGAAAACAATTATGGAATACATGGACAGAATCCCACGGTTGATAAGGATACATAAGATGCCACTGATTACTTTAAAAAACACAAATCAACAATGCAACACTAGAAATAATCAAAAATGCAAAGGAATACTGGAGAATTGTTGCAATAAGATGACTGGAGTTTAGGAAGAGAACCTCACATTTAAAAGCTGACCTTGTAAGAAAAGTAGGATTCCAACTGTGCAAAAGCATGAAACAGCGATAAATTATAAAACCCTTGGCAAGAACATGGAAGCAGCTGTGGCACAGGTGTATGCCCAACAGATGCAGAGACTGACAAGGCTGGAACATTACTGGGTGCCAGAGATGACAAGACTGAGCTCAATGTGATTGTATTCAGCTTGAAAAACAAACCATACTTTTCCAATCAAGCCTTTTCCTGGTAACGATGCCCATAAAAATTACATAGTGCATATGTATTGCATATCATCTCTACATATGTGGCATGTTGCAGAGCCATACAATAGATTTAGCATGCAATTCTGACCACCTCGCCTGTCCTCTGACCACTAAAACATCTCATCTGTGTTCTTGGTACTTCTTATGTCAACCTTCACAAAAATACATTTTCTTTCTTCCCAAATCATCCCTAACCAATGCCCTGGACAGTTGTGCTATTCAGCTCTGGAAAAGAGGCAGCTCTTCTAGACCTAAAGTGTTGTGAGTTTAAAGTCTGCCATCCATTAAGTGTTTAAAAGAAAATAGGAGTTACCATTGGGCAGAAAGATTCCAAGGTTCCCAATGGGACTGAGCACTCATTTCCAGCCCTGGAAAGTTCCAAGATGTTGGACTTTAAGGTCATGAGAATTTTTATGTCTAGAAAAAGGTTTTAGATCCTTTTTTCAGATCTCAGCAACTTCCTCTGGTCCCCATTCAGCAGGGCTCACAGTAGCTAACGGTCTATCTGGTCTTTACAAACAGAGGGATACAAGGAGTCAAGTATCAGGGGTAGCTGTGTTACTCTGTATCCACAAAAACAACAAGGAGTCCGGTGGCACCTTAAAGACTAACAGATTTATTTGGGCATAAGCTTTTGTAGGTAAAAAAACCTCACTTCTTCAGATGCCACCAAACTCCTTGTTGTTTTTTTTAGGGATACAAGGAGTAGTCCCAAAATATTTTGAACAACTTTTTAAAGCATCCCTGAAGTAGCTATTCTGAGCTGTGACATTGACATTGTGAGCTGCACCTGTGCCAGGTGTAGCCTGCCCCCTTAAGTGTGCAAGAGAAATGTGACAGTAGCAAGTCACTAGGGCCCAGGACTGCTGGGAGATATAAGGGTAGCCTGTGTTCAGGGAGGGGAATCTCTGCAGGGAGAGTAGACCTGGAAGGGAGTGCTCCATTAAAGAACATGAGAACAACCAGGAAAGGACCAGGAAAGAGACCAAGCTGAGCACATAGGAAGAGGCACAGGGAAAGAGATAGGGCAGTCTGAGTTATGGGACAGATAGCCCAATGTTGAGGATCAGTTCCCTCTACGCTACCACCTTGTGAGGGGTTGTATGGACAAGTCTTTGGAATGCTGTGCATGCCTCATTCCTGGCTTCACCGACTGATACAGTCCTGTCAAGCTCACTCTTTACACAAACACCTTCTAGGTGCTGCTCCCTACTGTAGATACTGGGCATCATGCAGATATTTTAAAACAGGAACATGTGCTTTTTTCCTTCTTTCCCAGATTGGAGAGGAAACTATTAGCTTATAGATTTTTATCTGTGGGACAGAAAGGATGAAGGAATGAGGAACTTGCTGAGGGAAAACTAAGCAGACTAAGTTTTTTATTTAGTTCTGAAAGTGAGAAAGTTTTCATGGTTGTTCTTCCCTCTGGTGGGGGCAAGGCCCAGAGTTCAGGCCCCATCCCCTGAGAAAGTTCTGACCACTGCCCTTACAAGCCTACTCTGTGGCTTGACTGTGTGTCACAAGGAAACAAAACTTTTATGGAAAGTCAAGTTTGTAGAGGGAAAGGCATTCTCTCAAGTAGCAGGGTCACTCCTATACAGGGCTTGAACCAAACTCTGTACTCCTTAGACAGCCTATAGCAAGATTCTTTGTCTACATACCTCTTCACAAGCCCTCAAAGATGACGCAGGAAAATGCCTGAGTAGACAGACAGACAGACAGACACACACACACACACACACTCTCTCTCTCTCTCTCTCTCTCTGCTTTCTGTATAGATTTTGCTTAGCACTCTGGGTCTTATCCAAAGCCCATACAAGTCAATGGGAGCCTTTCCATTGATTGTAATAGGCTTTGGAACAGGCCCTTTGTTACGAAAATTATAAGTACATTGGTAATGCCTGCAGCAGATTAGACAGCATCAAACTTACTCAAAGGCAGAAGAAAATATAGGTCACTCTGCTGAATTTAAGAATATTTAGAAAGCTTAAAAAGAATACTGAGAAAAGTGGTAAACACCAAGCAAACAGATGAGACGAACGTGTGAGACAGTTATAGCACTATGTACATATGTTACCTAACAATAGAAAAGGAGATTTTCAGTTCCAATCCTTTCCTCCGAAACAACTCCCTGTAGATATAACAACTAGACTGGCAGACTATTCTTGTTGGCTATTGGGAAAAAAAACAGAAAGATATCCCCAGGATATGTGAACAAAGTGAAAGCTTACCATTCAATTCCACAGGACCACTGGGATAACACTAATTAGGCTTTTGCAAGAGCCTAGGAAGATTGGGATAGACAGTTTAAAAAAAACAGGGCTTTAATCCAAAGTCTTTGATCATTCAAGAGATGTATACTGAAAGGTGATTGTTTGCTATTTCATTTGGTTTCCTTTGGGGAAACAGAAGAAAAAATGCTAACTACCTTGCCTGTTGTAGACAGAACTGGGAAAATAATTGATTTTTGGGGTCTCTGGGTAGTTCCAAAAAAAAAGATGTGGTTGGGGTGGAAGGAGGAGGAAGAGGTGGTGCCACCTCCCTTATAAACCAATGGCCCAGTAATTAGCAGTCACCTGGGATGTGGGAGACCCAGGTTCAGTTTCCTACTGTGCTAATGTGAAGCAGGGAACCTACCCCTCACAGGAGAGTGCCTGAACTGCTGGGCTGTGGGGTGTTCTGTAGCAGGTCTCAATCTCTCCTGATGAAGCGGTTCCAACTTCTATAAATACTTCAATAGTCATTGGAGCAGGGACTTGAACTTGGGTCTCTCACCTCCCAAATAGGTAACATAACCACTGGGTAGCTTGAGATGGGTGTCTCTCAGTCTCTCCTGCTGAAGCTCTTCTACTTTGTATAAAATACTTGAATATTCACTGGTCCAGAGAGAGGAAGGGAGAATGACTCTATAGCTGGTAAGTAGGGTGCTCATCTGTGAGACCCATCACTGGGACAATTTTCCAAGGGAAGTGGTGAATTCATCAATCACTTGGAGTCTTTAAATCAAGGTTTAATATGTGTCTATAAAAAATGCATTCTAATACAGCCACAAGCTATTAGGCTTGGTAGTGTTCACTTGCATAGAAAGGAAGAGTAACTTCCTGCACTTCAGGAATAACCAGATGATACTCTATGTCCTAGGTTATAGTAGGACAGAAGGGCAGACCAGAAGATCATACCCTTTGGCCTTAAAATGGTGGTCTCCTGTAACAATGGCCAATCCATCCCATTTGCTGACAGTTGCCTTCAATCATTAATCCTTCAGGCAATATGAAGCAAGAGTTTATCTCAGTGATTACTTCCTTACTAAACTGCACATCCTCAGTACTCACGACAAGAGGGCTGGTGACCCTCTGCTAACTTCTTCTAAGTAGGGCAATAATGCTCATCTTCAGGCTGTTACTGTGCTATCCCTTCTTCCAGAAGGAAAGTATGGTGGGATAGAACTTATGTGGAAAGAACTTAGGAGAGTAGTGCTTTCCAACGGTCTCCCACAACCTTCAGGCTGTAAGTCAGTAGGGGTCTGATCTAAATACAACTCAAATCAACTGAAAGGCTCACATTGACTTCAGCGGGCTTTAGATCAAGCCCCAGCTGAGCAACTTAAATCCTTTATGGTGGGTCACTTTGTCACCAACACAACTGCTAATGGTGGCCTGTAGTGGGGCAGCTGCCCCACTCCTGAAGAACAGGGCTTAAAACAGCCAAGCTAGGCTGATTGGAGTAACAGCCACAGCTGTGGCCAACTCAATTAGGGTCCCACTGGCCCTGATAAGAGGGCTGTGGGCCAGAAGCTGGAGGAGTCTCTCTCCAGCCCTGGAGAGAGAAGGGCTAGCTGTCTGAGAGGAAGGTACCTGAACCAGAGCAGTGCTGGGGAATAGGGCAAAGGAGTGCCAGCCTGGTAAACCCCCAGGCTGCAGGCCTTGATGAAGGCCTATGAAGCAGTACTGGGGTTGCAAAGATACAGCCTGGGAATAGGCAGAGGCAGCTGGTTCTAACCCCTTGCCAATATGAGTAGCGATTGTAGACTGCAGTCTGCCCCAGTAACTGGGGGCTAGATGATGACTGGCAGTAGCCACTGAGGCAAGCTGGGTTTAGAGGGTTGGGGGTTCCCCTGGGAGGGGAGACCCAGAGTGTGGGGACTGCTGGGGCAGAACCCCGAGGTAAGAGACACCAGGGTCCAGTAGGGACAGGGGAGCCTTAAGGCAGGCAAGACCCTGGCCAGTAGGATGTGCTCTGTAGGCTGGAGTGCTAATTCCTGAGATGACCAGCAGGAGGCGCCACTCCTGTGAGCCTTTGCTTCACTACAGGGCCTCACTGGTCAAAACCCAGCACTACACTGGCCTCAGGCCTCCATCCAAGCCACTGGAGCTGATTAGGAACCTGAGGCAATACACTGGGACAACAGGTGAATCCCTTCTATCCCATAAAGAGCACAACAGGTAACTATAATCTCAATTTATTTGCAGACAGAAATTATGACATTTTACCAATATGAAGCTATGCGCATCTGTATGCAGAGAGAGAGTCAGTGACAATATTGCGTTTCTTACTGTTTATATACATAAGCAGTTCAGCTAAACTGAAATCCTCATGGTATTTATTATATTACAACTCATTCAGGGCAATGCTGACCAGCCCCTCAGTGAAATTCCACTGACCGACCAATCCATGTAATAAGGACTACACTTCAAGAAATCTCATAAGAACCCAAAATAAAAGTGCCATTCCACATTTTTGCATCTTTCAAATTGGCATGGAATTCGGTTTCCATTTTCCAATATCTGATTTTGAGTAACAGCTACAGAAAGAAAATGAATTATTTTCCCCCTTCCAGGAACACTTTGCAAAATTTAAACAAAGTTTTTATTGCAAAGGTAGTATCAGAAATGTATCTTGCAAGGTCTTTCAAGAGTACAATGAGGAGTTTACAGTAGTGACAGACCCGTTTACAGTGTGCAGTGCAGAATATGAGTGAGGGAATAATAAATGCTGGACACTGTGTGTGCGCGTGCATGTAGCTTAACACCAGAAAAAGATAGAAAGGGATCATTTTCTTTGCCTTGCAATTTGTCATTCTCAATGCACAAGGTTGTAAATTTACACACCAAGGCAAGACAATCCCACTCCAATCTTAAGAGGTCTCAATCGTTCAGTCTTTTTCCTTGACCTGACATCACTTATCTTCACAATTCACAGTGGATTCTTCAGAATGTTCAGTCTTTAATTTTTTAAGAGAGGGCTCTACTGCAAGAAAAGACATGCAATGCTCCAAGGACTGTGCAATTTCATCAATTGTCCATTTGTCTTCATGAAGTGCATGCTCCTCTAGTGTAAATGGTCCTTGTTTGGTCCGGGTCAGCTCTTGCACATTGGCACAGGAAGAGAGTTCTATAGCATAAAAAGGAGAAAGCAGCCAGAAAAGGTGAATATTCAAGTTAAAAACGATGGATCTTGTTCAAAATCCCTAGTGAGCTAATTATATATAATTTTTTGGATATATTTTTAGTTGGAGAAAAGGGGCTCCTATTCAGATTCTCATCTCACTTACATCAATGTAAATCTGGAACAATTTCAACAGGTTTACTTCAGAATAAAGGAGATCAGAATCTGACCAAAGGTCTTCAGGAGATTTTGCATATTCATATCAAAATACAAAAAGAAAATTAGTAATGCAAGTTAAAACAGATCCAGGGTAAAATTTTCGAAAGTGACTTTGGGATTTTGGAGCTTAAGTTCCACTGACTTTTAAAGAGATTTAGGAGCCTCAATCCCTTTTAAAAATAAGGCTTAGGCTTTTCTAAAATTTTACTTTATATCACTTACTAGAACAGTATAAAATGAGGAACAACCTAGGATAAATACCAATGCAGTAATTAATCACCACTGAGACAGAAGAGATTCCGAATCAGGTTCACAAGGATACAGCACACACAGAGTTGGCCTTTGGACATAGGATGAAGAACAGTCTCTGAAATATACTCTTAATCTCCTCAGGTGTGGGAGGATTTCAAAATGAATTTGAAATGCAATCAAAAGGAGAAATTTGGGGCAGGGACCATGTCTTTGTATTTGTCCTTTAAAGGATCAAGCGGTGAATAAATAAATAAAAATCACAGGGCCTTGTATTTTTTTTTCTGCCCAACACTTTCACCTTTTCCATTTTTATTCTCTCCCTTGTGATTCCTTCACAATTATTTACCATTCTTTCCTTTAAGCTCCAGAGGCAACTACCTTAGTACACGAAAGTGAATGACAGCACTGCAGCCCAGCACATTAGGTCTGGTGACCAGAGATATGCAAAAGGAAAATATTCTTCTATTAGCAGAGATGTACATTCCGTACGCAGTCATGCTTTTTCCATGCCTACCTTTTCCAATGTCACTGACCAGACTTCTCACATAAAAGCCACCTCCACATTCAACATCTGGAATTTTAACAGTGACATAGTAAATTCCCAGCCCAGTATGAAATCTACTTTACATAGAAACAGTGCTCCCAACAAATGTAAAAATGCACTAAGCAAACAATCAAGTGATAAAATATTTATAGGATACAATATAAATTATTCATCCTGTAACATATGTGCGGGTGAGATTGCAAAGCCAGAGAGGAGAGAAAGCAAACATAACAGTGACTGAACAAATGCATTATAAATTAACTATTGGCCTTGGCATTTTAATAAATACTTCAGTCTCGTTCATTTGAAAGGTTTCAAAAGGTCATAAGTTTCATCTTTCCAATGATGAAAAACAGTCATTTTAAGTGCTACTCCAAACCAACAATGAACACTTTAAAATATTGACTGTACTTAAAGTGCACAGCTGACACGAGCTGTGACATTATAAAAAACATCTTTACTATTCCTGTCTTCCTTAACTCCCCCTCCCTTCCCTTCCCTTCCCTGCCTCCCACAGTGATCAGCTACTAATCTCCCAACCATAAAATAACTATTTAAATAACATACACCTTTGAAATATAGTGGCCAGACCCACTTTTAACAACACGACATATAGTACACCAAAGGGCTCCCAAGGGAGCAATCAGTGTAATTCCAGAAGGCATACAACTCTTCTGCCTTCACTGTCAATATTAAAGGAGGATAAGATTTTCAAAGGCTTCTAATTCATGTCTGTGCATCCTAATGCGTTAACTACATTTCTTTACATATGGAAGAAGGGAGTGTGGATCTCCTCTCCACAAATTGGAAACAGGGTCATATCATTGCTCTTCCCTGCCCCCTTTCAGGAGGGAGTGAGCCAGGGATTGGAATGCAATTGTGGTGGGTATGAATAATTCTCTTCCCAGCCCGGCCAAGTTCGCCATAGAATGAGAATACAAAATCAGCTTATGTCAAATCGAATTGGGGCACTCTTATTGCAAAAGGAAGCGCCCACGTGCAGACTCGCACTGAAATAATCATAGAATATCAGGGTTGGAAGCGACCTCAGGAGGTCATCTAGTCCAACCCCCAGCTCAAAGCAGGACCAATCCCCAACTAAATCATCCCAGCCAGGGCTTTCTCAAGCCTGATCTTAAAAACCTCTAATAACTAACCATGTGAACTGAGACCCACTTAGTTATTTCATTTCCAGGTTGAGTGTAGACGAGCTGGGAACATCAGCCTGCATCAAATCTTTGGCCCTTACCCAGCGTGAACAGTGGTGACTGGAAGTTTTGGAGAGAGAGGCTGTACACCGTAACCGGCCTAGCAGGCTTTGCTTCCACTGCTTCTCCTTTCTTCATCAGAGATGACAGCCTTTGTCCATCTCTCTTCAGAGCAGAATAGCTGATGGGATAGACCGTACAAATGTGTGTCATACAGCTGTAATGCAACAAGCCTCCCGTCCTCAAATCCTATTAATACTGCACTACAGGAGGATATATTTTAGCCTCCTAATCCTCTCCAAGTGCTCATAAAAAAAAAAGACAATTGAAATCATTTGTACACAGGAGCCTCTTTATACAAGAAATAGTTAAGCGCAATAAATGTTAGTCACGTATTCAATACTTGCATTTAAAAAGGGTTCATAACTGAATTCATTGCTTATGAAAGTGAGGAATCAATAGTGGGTATGGTAACGGACTCAAACACATGGCCCCACTGAAGCCTACGGGACCAACACACTACCGAATGTTATGTTGGGCCCAGGATCTGTAGGCAGTGCAGCTGATGCTGTACAGACAGCTTCCTTCATATAGCTCTTCCTTTCTCCTTGACCCTGACTCAGAATATCCCCACTACTTCAGTCTCTCATGAGAGTCAATTGCCAACTACCCAGCCTTGTTTCGGTATGTCTAACTGACCACTATTGATGAAACTAGATTCATTTAATTGGTGACAAAGGGCCTTATCCAAAGACCACTGTAGTCCTCAGCCCAGGACAATGGTAAAAGAGAAAAACTACCCAAGTTTACCAGAAGTAATTTATATGTAGCTTGCAGAAAATAGGCTTAAGTTTTCAGGAAGCTAGTATTGAAATCTCAAACCTTTTTTTTTAAAAAACAGAAGTTAAAGTACCATTCTGTTTACAGAACGAAGTGGAAGTCTCAAAATATTCTTCGCTAACTGGCAGATAATGCAGAGTCCTGACAAACTCCTGGAAAAATAGTATCTGATTCCTTCTCTATGTTAAAATTTTGCCGCAAAACACAGTACAATGTGACAATTTATGTCTGATGTTAAAATCAACGTGACCGTCAGCTCTGAATTTGTCAAGTTAATAAACCCTACAGCCTGTGTAGAGAGAAGGATGGGTAGGAAGGAGTTGTGTCTGGTTCACTGTTGTTAGGCAGATGCACAATTAACACTCCACCTCAGAAGTTTCTGGAATTGGGTATAGTAGTTTTGGGTCTGGTCAGTACCTTCCCAGTAACTGGACTCAGACTCCATGAGGGTAGCTGCTTTACAAAAGGTCATATGCAAGTGTGTAGGTTGGGAGAAGCGGAGACACAGCAGAAAGCAGGCTGTTTCCCTCTGACTCTGAAGCCTTTTGCAGCAGGTCAGTGATACTGTTAACCCTCCAACAGGGAAGCCTTGGAGGTGTTAATTGCAGAAAGAAGAAATTGGAAGGGAAAACTAATTTCTTTCATTTTAATTGTATACTTGGAAGGTTGCTTGATTTCAGCCAAACTGTTTTAGTTAAATTGTCTCAACTTGTATGATTCACCAACTTCTCTCTTATTTGAATGACGATGGGGAAAGAGTCATTTATGTTTTGCTTTTCTTAATTTTGTATTTTTCTTGTAACTAGTTTTTTTTTTTTTTTTTTTTAAATCTATATACTTAAACTGGGGGGGTTGGTTAATTAGTTAGCTGACTAGCCGAGGAGGAAGAAGAGTCCGCATGGATTCCAGCTGGAGATTTTTGCAAGCAAGTGGAGAGAAGATGATGTCGCAGTGCTTTCGACTCAGCAGACTGTATAGATTTTGGTGATCAAAGACTGTAGCTGAGACTCAGGTGAACTTAACCTACGTTTTTGGGAACTCTGAGTTACTTCTCACTGTGTTTCGGTTGAGACTCACCTGTTTATATTTTATTTGTTTTCTTTACTTATGTTTATGTATCACTGTGAAGATAACGTACCGTATGTGGGTTATAAAGGAGCCGTGTTACAGAAATGAAGGTATTATTATTATTGTTTCTTTATCATAATATTTTATAAAGTTGGTACTTAAGAATTAAACTCATTCCTTTTTTTACTTGATTGTGGGGCGGCTGACCCTGTGTAATCCTTGCTGAATATCTTCAAGGAGTGAATTCTGAGTCTCCATGTGCTTTTCTATGGGAGTTGGTTTTAGGCGCTAGGACAGGGGTTCTCAAACTTCACTGCTCCGCGACCCCCTTCTGACAACAAAAATTACTACAGGACCCCAGGAGAGGGGACCAAAGTCCCAACCGAGCCTCACTGCCCCAGGTAGGGAGGGGGCCTAAAGCCTGAGCCACACCGCTCTGGGCGGGGGCGCCAAAGCTGAAGCCCAAGGGCTTTAGCCCCAGGCAAGGGGGCCTGTAACATGAGCCCCGCCGCCAAAGGCTGAAGCCCTTGGACTTCGTCTTTGGCCCCAGGCGGTGGGGCTTGGGTTTCGGGCCCAGGCCCCAGAAAGTCTAAGCCAGCCCTGGCGACCCCATTTTAATGGGGTTGCGACCCACAGTTTGAGAACCACTGCACTAGGATAAAGGCAGTAAAGTAAACTCTAGCCCACCCAAAGGTTGCACCTGCCTTGCCAATATCTTCTTGTCAAAAGAGAACTCTATTTATGGCAAAACTGGCTTCTGCTGAAAAATGCTCCAAGTGGGGTAATGCTGCTGGCAGTGCCCGAGTACTACACAACTTACAGTGGAGGAACTTGCATTATGTCCCCTGTGAACTTTTGCAGCACACGTTCAAGATCTTCTTTTGTTATCTGATCTGTCAAAAGGAAACAAGATATACATTAGCACTGATTATTTATATAGCACTCTCGGTGTCCGTGGCACTTTACAAACAGGTACAAAGAGAAGGTCCCTGCCCTTTGGATCTTATAATCTAAACTAAGAAAAGAATCTCACAGAAGATGGTGGGAGACCACAGTGGGTAGAGGAGGAGGTAAGAGTGAGAGTAAACACAAGCAGAGGAGGGCAAATTGTCTGGGTTGATTTACACGCTTCTTGCAGTTTAAAACATTTAGTTCAATAGTCCTATTTTAGGCACCAATACAGAAAGATGCTCCAGACTGCAAATATTATTGTTACCTCCTTTTTGTTCTGTGCTTGCACAGAGGGGGTCTGGTCCACTATTATGGTCTTAGATGCTATAGAAATACAAATAATAACTAAATCCCATTGAAGTCAGTGGGACTACTCATGTGCTTAAGCATCTTGTTCAACTGCGGCCTTAATAAATAAATAAATAAATAAAAGTCAGTAAATACAGTGGGCCTGATTCTCTGTTCTGATATTGTCCCTTTTCCAAAGAAAAGGGTCTGGAAACCCAGCAGACCTGGCCAGCTGGGAATTTCCCTTGAACAGGAGGAGCCCTGGGTAGAGAAGACCAGCATAGCTGCTCTGTGCTATACCATGTCACAGCCTCTGGCATGAGGGGGAAGGGAGTTGTAGGTAGGAAATCAGTTCTAAGGCCTGGTCCACACACAGGTTTTGTACCAAATTTAATTATTTCAGTTAGGGGTAAAATTTCCTACTGAAATAGTTATACCACATCATCCCCTATTTGGACACAGTTACAGAAGTATCTTCTACTGGTGCAATTTAGCCCCTACCCATACGAGACTACTGCCATCACTGCATCCATTACCAGTACAGTTAAAGTGATACAATTTAAGCACGTAGGGAAGCCCTCAAGGCAGTTTTCTTCCTTTCCCTGGATCCTCTGCTCCCCTCTCTTTTTTTCTTTCTGCATAACTGAGTTAAATGTGGAAGGAAAGGGTGAGAGAAATGGAACAAGTTAAGCCTTAGCCACGTCCTCCCCCAACCCCCTCTCCCTTATCTTCTTGAATTAGGTAGGGGCACTACATTCATCCCAGAACTGAATGGACATTGTGAAAGTTAATGCTCCCTCCCAGCCAATGAAACTGGTAGTTACTAGCAGGAACTGGGGGCGGGGTGGGTGTTGTACCCAAGAGCTGAAAAACCCCAAACATACGTGATTTTATTAATACTTTCCAATTTCCATTCAGGCCTGAGCATTCATTTTTTTGGAAAACTATGTTGCAAGACTATGAAAACCTTCCTAGTTTCGATTTTGATAAAGGAGGGAACTGCTTGGCTAAACTAAGCAGCTTCTCTTAACAGTTAATCCCATAGCTTTAGGGACATTTGAGATGTAAAGCACACATTTTCTTTCCAGTAAGAGAAGAGAGTGGGAACAACACATCAAATTTCCCTAACTATCAAGATTCAAATATCTAACCCATTAAAGCTCATGGAGGCATCATTATGTTTCTTTATGCATTCTAACTATTGCCATTTTATTCAGCAAATACCCTTATTAACTATCACTTCTCTCTAGAGAGACTGCCTCCAGTGTACTGAGTACAGTTCTGCACTATCTTTATTAGAAGGCCGTCTTTTCAGTAACCAATTTTGTTGGTTGCTTAAGAGGGGTTTCAATATGACAGTTGCCTCTTATCTGTTCAGAAAGCAAACTTCAGATCTGTAATCTACATGCAAATCAATGAATGACCAGGAATTGGCTGGCCCCATTTCTCATAAAATAGATTTGGTTCATGTCACTCCAATGAAGTCAACAGAGTTCTGATTAAAACGAAATAAAATGGATAGCATTCTCAGGCCCTTTATTAGGTTTTATTCTGCACTTCAGTAGTTCTTCAAAGCAGATGGATCTCACAATATGCATAAGGGTTTATTCCCCCAAAAACAAACAGTCTCCTCTCCGTTGCAGCATCAGAGGAGAGCAACTTATGCCTCACTTTTGTAAACCAAACACTGCAATTTCAATAGCAGATGCTGCCATTATGCCCAGCAGCTGTCTAAAAGAAGTGTCATTAATGGTAATGCTGCAGTGATTCATAAATCAGTCAAGGATGTTGGGGAGACCAATGCACATTAGCATGGGGGGAGGGGAATGGCAGAATCTTTTATACCATAAATTCAGAGCTTCCCCTAAAGAACCTCATGTATGTTATGGTTTTGCAGTCTTGCTGTGTGCTGCAGTTTAGCAAGGTGTCAGAGAAGAAACCATACGGCAGTAAATACTATCTTTATGAGCCTGTCAGCGTGTCCACTGTGAACCCATTTGCTCCATCTGAAACTTGGTATGTAAACTGAGCAGGAGTGTCACTTGTTTTCTTTCTCAATATTCACCCCCCCAGACTGAATCAGTGGTTAGGGCACTTAATGACACAGCTGGGTTCAATTCCTGCTTTGATCTCATACTCCCCAGATTGAGAGGGGAATAGGAAAAAGCCCACTAAGCTCTGGAGAAAATAATTTGTGGTACAGCTAATTTAGTAATCTTTGAAAAGAAAAGAAAGAAAAAGAAAAAAGTGAGGCATAATGTTCAGTCATTAACAAACAACGTTGTGCAATGTCGGTTTATCAAAGTAAACATTTTACAAATTAGCCTGATAGGACCTAGAATAAATAATGTTTGTCTTCTGCAATTTCTCACGGTTTGAACAGGCTGGTATTAAAAATGACAATCCTGTCTGCTCCTCCCCCAGTGCCATTACAGGCTGACATGACAGTTTGGATTTTTTTGCTTTCACTTGTAAACCCACAAAAGCAAAGGCAGCTTCATTAGATTCGTGACTTTGCTGAAACATTGTGTTCGCTCTGTACTCACCCTGCTTGGATTAGCACATATGCATACTCTACATAGTTCAGATTTACCCCAGTCCTGAGGTTTGGTTTTGCTGATAATTCATCCAAAAGCCACCACAATGCTCAGCCTAAACTTTCTCCCCAAGATTGGCTGTTCCTGAGGTTTTCCCTGCCAGGTCTCTCTTTTTCCAGATCTAGTTTTTTCTGCTATAGAGAAATATACTCTACCCCTTCTTACATTCTGGGGAGAGATAAAAGTTATAACTGCTAGTAGGTCTCAGCACAAATTACACAGTACCTTCATGCAGGCTTCAAGCTGCCGATAAAAGGATGATTTAATAAAGGAGCCCTGTATTTCTATGCAGGCTTTTAGAGTTTGCCACCTGTTGCACAATGGTTTAAAATACAGCAGTCATGTCCAGTTTGTGCTTGGAATAGGCACTGCAGACAATTTGCCAATGGTTTCTACACTAAACACTGAAAGAAATAATGTGACCAGTGACCTCTACACAGGCCAGATTCTGATGGAATAGTCCCCAACTGCAAGTCCATCAAGATCACAACTACTGACTCAAGAACTTCTAGTCTTATCTATACTGGTGTAAATCAAAATAACTCCTTTGTCTTCTGAGACCAGAAATTCTCAGGTCAACAGTGCACTGGGATGCTGATAAGATTACAGAAGGAAAACAGGTCAATGATTAAAACCAAGCAAAATAATATGTGCAAAACAAAATGGTACAAATTATTGTAAGAGCACTCTATGACACGCTAAAGAGTGATATTTGTTCAATGTTTATTTGCATAAACTATTCATCAGATAAACATAAACAACACACAGATCACCAAACAGTGTCAGTTTAATGGAGCTATGCCAGTATATATCAGTTTAGGATCTGGGATCAAGTCTGGTTGCAAATGATTTGCAAAGAGGAAAAAGAGGGGTTTTGTTTCTTTTTTATAATTATTCAACCAGTTCTATTAATGAAATCCCTTCGCTTAAGTAGTAAAGGTCCTTGCAAGTTCTATTCCCAATGCCTGGATTTAGCCAATAAGAGGCTGGGGAGGGTCGTGGGTATACACCACTACGGATCATTATCAAAGGAGCCACAAAATGTAAACGGCTCTCTCAGAAAAGCATCAAAGGAGCACTAAACCAAGTTCACAGCTACTTTCAAAGTTCATTTTCATTTTCCAACAGGAAGGCAATAAAGTGATTCTTGCTTCCTCAAGTGGAAATTGTTTCAATCTGGCTGTACAAGGTGCTTTTCCCTCAAAAAATAAACAAACAAACAATAATAATTAAAAAAAAAGATTGGGAGGGGTTAAAATCCAAGCAGACCTTTTCAACACATCCTTGCAGTGTGTAACTTATATTTACAATGGTTTGTTTTCTTAACTTCTGTCTAGAGACTTTTCTATAAAATTTTAGTGCTTGCTTCTGTTTCAGACAGTGGGCAGCTTTCTGCAAGTGCTCTCCACTCTGGACCCAGTGTGGTCCTTGAGGAAGAATTCTGCAGATCTCGTAAGCCGCTTTCCCTCCCCTACGCTTAGGACTCAGTCCTGGATTCCATGCGAATAGGGGGCACTCGGCACCTCACAGGATTAGGACCTAAAGCTCAAAGGGAAGTTGAAATTCAGCTCCGAACCTCAGCAGTGTATAATGTGCAAAAAAATCAGCAACTACGCAGGAAGCTGAAACCAGCGGTTTGGGAGATTGTTATGAGATGGGAAGAGAAGGAAACAAATCGGGGGAAGTAAGAGTAGAGGAGAGCACATGGTTCTTGTGCTCTCCCCTTTGGAGAATTCACAATACAATCTCGCTGGTCTGCACTAATGGTGGCAAGCCCCAGTAAATTTCTGAACGCAAGAAGCATGAAGACAGCAAGCAAGCAAGGCTAATGTATCATGAAACATACCTGGTTCATCCATTCTGGCAATGGAAATTGAGTTTTAATTACTAGCGATAATACTTCATCATGGGCTGGTGAATGTGCAGTGTATTTTGTCAGCATAACAGAGTGTTCGCACAGAATCATGCATTCTGCCTTTCTGAGAAGCAAGTAGAAACCACTTTGATTTGTACCTGTTATAAAACTGTGTGGTTTAGCAACTCAGATGGGCAACCTTACAAAAGGCTAGATAGATGGATAAGAAGATTCTACTGTAGCCCCTGACCATTCGGTACTGAAATGGAGGCAGTGTGAGCAAGTTCTCTGAGCAGCACCAGGCAGTCAAAAAGACATTACCAGCCAGCATTAGCAATGCAGTTCAGGGTGAAAGAGGAACTGGTGCTTGCCTGCACCAAGTGTAAGGAGGAAAATTACAAGCAAGAGGGAAGGGAAAAAATTCAGCATACCTTTTTCATCACAAGATAATGAAAGGTAATTTTGTTGTATTTACCTGTTCCTAGGTATCAGAAACAGAGTGGGGCCTGTAAGAGTTGCTAGGAGACGAGCTATCTATAGCATTCTTTTTATGTTGCGAAAGAATTAATGGCAAACACTTTCAGGTGGGTTCCCAATTAGTCCTGCATTATTTCTCAGACATACAGTGGTTTCTTTACCCTATCTGTGAATGCACTCCAGAACGTGTGAACTGACAAAGCAGTAAATAGAATTAGTTCAAAACTGTCAAACCTATGCACCATGGTCTCTGTGTAGGAGAGGCTCATTTATTTAGATCGCTAGGAGCCAGCCTGCAAAAGAGAGACAGCATGAACAGGTGAAAAAGTGAAAAGGTAAGTCTATGCCAGCCCCATTTTAAAATAAAAAAGCCTGTACTTAAAGGGGCTTTTTGGAGGGGAGACTGAAGTACTTCTTTCCTTCTGGGTTTCAAGGGCAAAGGCATCCCGCATGGGATTGTGCACTGAAGGATGACGATTTTATTGGTGATGCCAGTACACTGAAGGCAAAACAATACAGCTATGCCTGATTCTATTTTTCACCTTACTAGTTTGATGCTAGTTTCTTGAAAAAACTGAAGTCAACCACTGTGCTGGACCCAGCTGTGAAATCTTAGGCACTCAGGTTAAAGCTGAAATAATCATGCAATTTGATTTAGAAATTACATTTAATTTTCAGCATCATATGAGACACAAAGCTCCAAAGAGCTATGTCCTCTTGTCCCCAAGAAGGTATTTTTCTTTTTAATATAAACTGTTGCATCAGGTCAATTGTCTTGCTTTCCCACAAATGCAATGCTGAAAAAATTAAAGAGTGTGAAGTCCAAAATCTCTCCTTCGCTTTGGTAAGATACAGGCCAATTATTGCACTTTAATTTAGATCTATGATCTAATTAATACAAAGTTACCATAAGGCTTTTCTTCGGTTACTTTTCCTGTAGCATCTAATGTATCAGTAGCTTTTCCCAGTTCCCCAATGGCCAAGTACTTCTGTGAAGGAAAAAGAAGAGATTAATGTCTTTAAGAGTTTTAACTGAACATCCAGTGAGAACTTCAGATGGCACTAGTAAAGCTGGATCGTGAATAACCAACCACATAACTCTGGGGAAACAAAGATGGAGATATTAAGATAGGAAACTCACAAGAAATGAAATCCAGCATTACCTGGACATATCCATTCATTGATTTAGGATTTTCAAAAAGAGTTAAGTAATGTGGTAGCTAAGCAACATTAAAACTAAGTTGGTGTGATGTAAGAGCTTAACAATAAAAATATTTTAGTGAAATAAAAGAATGAGCAAAATATTTGCCATAATATCATCTTAAAAACAGTAGAATCTTTCATCCCAAAGGACTGCACAGTGCTTTACAATCTTAATATAATATATGAGAGAGAGAAGATGAAGGACTTCTCTACCACTGTAATGCGGCCATCTCTGAGTCAAAACAGGACATCTGTTCAGCAGTGGCATGGAATACCACACAATAGTTTGGACGGGAAAAGAAGAATTATTGGATTATCAATGTTATAAAATTTATTAGCACAACAAACAGAATCATACACCCTATAGTATGGCAAAGGAGACAGCGCCAATACAGAACGTCCAGTACTCCATGCATTATTCACGTCATCCCTCGCAGGGACGCCCAGTGCAGACGAGTTGGCTCACACATAGTCATCAAGTCAGTGTTTTCCAATGTCTCCCACTGCCCACAGCCTGGGTATCGACTTTTATAATGGTTTATGCTAACATCCACTGGCATTATACATATTTAGTGATGGTTTTAGCCACATGCTTCCATACCTCAATAATATTGGGGTTCCTAACATCTATAGGTTAATTAACCATTTACCTCATAGTTATTAGTATTTAAGTCAACTAGTTACCAGAGTATACCTGCAATTAGTACATATAAGTTTTGATTAAACTCAATATCCTCCAAACTGTCTCTAAAATCCCAAAAGCATATATCTGCGGTTCCTCACGTCACTATTTTCTGTCATGTATCACTGTAATACACACCTTGTGATATAAGGTCATCTATGAGTTAGTTCCTTATGAACAGCTAGACCTTGATTATGCTAAGCTAATTGTCATACAGGTATCAGGTGTGTATGCCCTTGCATTACAGCCACCTACACCTTATCCATATGGCCTATCAGTGTCCTTGGGTGCCAGGCTACAATAATCTCCATCAAACAAACAAAAAAAGTTACTACTTTACAACTCACTCTCTCTCTCTGTAAATAAAGCAATAAGGAGAACAGTCTTCAAACTTCTGTGGCACAGACAGAGAGAAAGGAAGGACTTTTGAACAATAAAATGCAAAATAAAATACTATATATTGGACAACTTTTTCAGATGTTACAATAAGTGCGTGAACAGGTCTGAACGGTTCTATTATTATTAAACCTTTAAGGTCTTTCATTAGATTTCAGGCTGAAAGAGGTTCCAATGGAATGAAAGTCCTGGCATCAGCTTGGCCTGTATGATGATTTTTTTAAATCTGGTTATAAACAACTAGCCTCTGGCTGCCCATTACAACCACATTGTTAAATTTAACATTCCAGCAGTGGAGAAAAATTCTTTACGCTGGATCTATATAAAAACAGGTTATAGAAACTCTATCACTGAATGGCGAACACATTCCACAGCCTCAGTTTCTATCTCTTCGGTTCAGCGTAAGGTCATAAACCTTTCTAATTTACAAAAAGTGCATGTGCCAAAGGAGACTAGATGACCTCCCGAGGTCCCTTCCAACCCTGATACTCTATTCTATGATTCTATAATTGCAAAGAAAAAAATCCCAGTCTAGTTATAGACCAATAAAGTGAGGGGTGCACTAATCCACACTTGGAGAAAAATCAAGCCACAAAAGGTCCAGGAAATTGAGAGTTTATATTTGATTCGCTATCGATCTCAACAGCACCCTGGAGTATTTGTAATTATCTATCACAGCCCTCATTGGCCACTTACAGGAGAACGGAAGTCGCAGAGGAGAGGCCAAGAGCTCGGACTGAGCCTAATGCTCCTCTTAGACCTCTCTCATTGGACTGTTTAGAGCCCTGAGCTGCTCCCAGACTAAACTGATTGGATTGTGAGGCAGACCAGGCAGCACCCACCACCTCCTTCCGCTCTAAAATTGCTTCCCCCCAGGCATTCTATGTGAGGTTCAGGCAGAAACCCTCCCTCTAAGCCTCCAGGTGCCCAAGCAGCTGTGCAGGGATTTTCCCCCACCACTTCTCCACACTGTAAGAGACTGTAAAACTGGTTTGTTTCATTCACACAGTGAGGAAATATCCCTAAAAACAGGTGTTAGTGTCTAAGCATTGGGCACTCTGTCAATTATGATGGGATGTGGAACAAAACCCAGGTGTTCCATACTTTGATCATTCGTGACACATCTCGATGGCTTGTGTCACCCACTGGCAGATTTGCAGGTTGAGAAGTGTGGGGCAGCTTTTTTTCTGGAGTCACCACTGCAAATGGGACCCTGGTAACCTGAGCCATTCCCTTTAGCTCTGCAGGGAAAGACTGGTGGGATTCACACACAAATGGCAAACCCTATATATATATATATAAATAAATATTATATAACAATGATGTTTCTTTTGTTAAAAGAATAGCCACTCTAAAGAAATGCTTCCAGTTTTAACGTCAACTGATATTTACCAGTTAAACACTGATTGGGGGTGTGGGTGGGGGGGAGATACTCTGACTTAATATGTAGATTTACTGGAGGGGTGAAAAAGAAAATGTACATGGGTTCTCTGAACTGGTAGCTAGGAACCTTAAATTCTTTCTAGTCAGTTTCACAATGGTAAGAAACCCTGGGTTGACTGCAGGGCATGTCCATACTTGTCAGTGAAAATGCCAGAGAGACCATGGGAAAGGAGTACTTCTCAGTTTTGTTTTATTTTATATATCAAAGTTTTATTGGGAAAAGGGCCAGAGGTCTGAAATCCTAAATTATAACCTGTTTTAAAAGCGTCTCTTAAAAATGGAACAGAAACTTTTAGAAGAGAGACTCAACCTCTGGGATGCAATTGTAAAATAGGGTCATTAGTAGCTGACTTTAAAGTTGCAAGGTGGCTCCCATTGAGGGAATTTCCTGGAAAGGAAGGACTGTAGGAGGTAGGACAAATGGTTCCTAGAGTTTATTTGAGGATAAGGTATTTTCAAATCAGAGCAGCAATTGAACATGGGACTGAAGGGGGAGGAGAGCTAAGAACCCTAGTTTGACAGACAGAATCATCAGAGAAATCAGATTTGACATAAATAGAAGATCAATATATGTATGTGCCTGACACAGGTGAGGCACAGAAAGCCTACAGAGGTTGCAAGGACACGGGCAGCAACCAGCTGGAGCACAAAATGGGTAAGTGTGCATCAAAAGTGGCAGGGGAGGGATAGCTCAGTGATTTGAGCATTGGCCTGTTAAACCCAGGGTTGTGAGTTCAATCCTTGAGGGGGCCACTTAGGGATCTGGGTGCAAAAATCAGTACTTGGTCCTGCTAGTGAAGGCAGGGGGCTGGACTCGATGACCTTTCAAGGTCCCTTCCAGTTCTAGGAGATAGGATATCTCCATTAATCTAATCTAAAACTGCCATGCTGGTGCCTAACCATGTAACTGCATGCTTTGTGCAGACAGTTACCAGACCTGCAGATGCATCTTGGTTGCAAACTTGGGACTCTGTACATACGGAATTGGCCCTATATGGTTATTTATTAAAAGTACATTCAATTTGTGTCCATAGATTCATAAAATTTATTACTAACTCCTGACCAAGATTAGTTATTTACGTAACTTGTTACATGTATTTCAATAGCACCTAGAGGATTCAGGCAAAACCGGGGTTCCATTGTGCTAAGCACGGTTCAAAACAAATAGCAAGAAATAGTGCCTGGCTCTGAATAAAAAAGACAGCCCAAGGATAGAAGAAAAGGGATGATTATTTTATACCCAATTATTTTACAAAACAAAAAGGACTTCCAGCAGCCATGATCAGACATATTAAAAGCAGGAGGCCCCCAAACAATTTGAAAATGTTACCAAAAGACAAAACTGAGATTACAGAGGGGACAAAAAGAATTTTATGACAAAGCAAGTTCAAAATTAACGAACAGCAAACATGTCCTCTCAATACAGAGAAGCATTACAATTTCTCTCCTCTAGCATCCATTTTTCTCCTGAGTGAAAAAGCTGACTTTGTGCTAAAGCTGCACTAAATTTTATTTACTGCTAGATGCTATAATTGTTCTGTCATTGCTGAAGAACGATCTGATCTTTACCCTAGGACTAGCTGGATTGTCTGACTCCTTATGTCAGCCTCTTACTTAAAATGCTCTAACACATGGGGTGACCTGATTTTCAAAGTGAAAGACTAGCACCACTCATCAGGGGGGAGCCTGCAGCTGAAAGTTCTGCCAGAGATCAGGGAGTGATTTGATCACTCGGGGGATGTAGCCAGAGACTCCACGGAATTCCAAAAGCCAGAACAAAATACTGAAGTTTTGTAAAAATATTAGGGACGTCAGGTCATCCCCCAGATTTCAGTGATACATGGTCTCACAGCTAAGCACAAACAAGGGCTTACAACATGCAGACCCACTCAAGAAACCAGTTGCTTGGTAGTACCAAGTCTCTTAATTCAAAGCTTTCAGACACTTTCCCCACTGGAAAATCTCTGCAGTCACTGGAGGAAAAAAATCTCAACCTTGGTCTTGTATAGAAGTCAGTTTTATTCTGACACAAGCTCATTCTCTCCTTCCCACTCCCAACCTCTTCCGCCTGCACAATGGATTACACGGGAAACGCAAACCCCCACCCCACACCCAACTTTTTGAGGAATCGGGTATTAAGGAAATTCTGGATTTTCTTCCTCCCAGAAATAGAGCAGACTCTTTACAGGGGTGAGAGATACTGAGAAAAGAGATTGTTTTAGAATGGTGCAATGGGGTATAACTAGGAATGTCAAAGTAAATTAT